AGCTTTCGCACTCTCCTCTTTCACCCTCATCAAGAAGCTCTTTAGTTCTTCTTCACTTTCTTCACTTTCTGCCATTAGGAAAGAGGAGAATATCTCATATAATATGGTCCACTTATCCCTTTACAGCAACTCTGCCCTATGTACTTTTGACCTTATGAGTCTCTCCCTGAAAGTCCCCCAAATCAACTGTCTCTAGATGAATTTATCTTTGAGGTTCTCCTACATGCTCTCCCTCAGCTGCATTGGAACCACAGTTTTTGGAACGTTCAGAGGCCATGCTTGCTGGGGATGCTGAGAATTGATGCTTACTCATTTGACCAATACCAGGCTGGGGGATGAAAATGGGCCAGAAAGGTGAGAATGCCACATGCAGAAACTGTTGTACAGTTGCACCTTATTGAAGAGAAACCCATCCTTGTACCATCCTTCCTCCCTTTGCTGCTGCAAATTGATCCTTTCTCCTGAAATCTTGGGGGAAAGAAGCCTTGAAATAGCCTGAGTCTTTATTTTAGGAAGCATCCAGCAAAAAAGACTCCTCTCTTTGCCCCATGAGTTGGGGAAGTCAAACTGCCATTTATCATAAATGTCAGTTTACCCTGTGCATCACTTCAAGGGAGGATCACTGTCATGTGTGCAGTCATGGTGTGCACCCCTTTCTCTTTCAGAATGAGGTGGGCATGGGCATCCTGCTTTTTGTGGGCAGAACACACTTGGAAACAAGGAATGTTTTTGTATTGGGCTTTAATGCTTTCCCGTAGCTCTTTCCAGCAAGTGAGGCTGGGCTAGAAAGAGAATGTGTGCAGTGTACGCATGCTCCAGCATCTGCAGCCCCCTCCTTTCCTTTCTCATTCCTGATCTCCTCCCTTCTCCACCCCTGCTTGGAGCTGCCGAGAGGGAAAGGAACTAGCTCATCTATTGATAGGGAAAGGAGGAAGAAGGGAGGAGGCTGATCTGTCACTGGGAACCTCTCCATCATCTTCCCCAAGTAGCTGGCTTTATCCAGAAGCAGCTGGGACTCTGGGTATTTCAGCACCAGAAGCCCTGGACAGCTCCAGACTCATTGAGCTGGTACTTTGAGCTACTGCTGAATCCGCCCAGAGACGTCACCACACAAAGAAAAAGAGCCGAAGCATCCTTGCTGGGTGCATCTTTGATCTTGATCAAGCACAAGATCCTTCTCCTTCCTTTTCCCTTGAGCCCCACAGCAAGGTTTTCTCCTAACCCATGGGCAAAAAGATGCTTCTCAAGCTGTTAACTGTGTTGTCCTTGATTGTGGGCCAGATGTTTGGCTTCCCAAAGCCTGAAGGTGCAGGAGAAGGTAAGTAGACCAGCCGTACGTTGGGTTGGTCCCATTTTAAACTTCCTCATCTTTCTGTAGTTGTAATGTGTTCTGACCACTCATTGGCTTGCAACACAAAAGAAATAACTCAGAGAGATTGTGAAAAATTGAACAATTTTTAAAGAATAAAAATTATACATTGTTGGTCCAATTTGACTCCAAAACCTACTTATACAGGTTTGGAGCACAGCCCCTAGATTAAAGCTGATGTGTGTGTCAAGTTAAATAGACAAGAAAAAAAAGTGGGGGGGGGTTGAATTCCATGAACATTAGAGGAAAAAGTTTTTATTCCTTTTGTTCTAGATTTTCTTCATGCTGGGCCTGCTAGATTTGCAGGGAAACATTCTCCCAATCTCTCTTTGTACAGGTTCCTTTTAATGTCATACAATCTTTTAATCTCTTGATTATTCCAAGCTGATTACGTTAGTGCTATTTTGGTCTAGTTCTTATAAGGTACTTTTTAAATTGTGTGCATTAGATGTATGATAAGAAATAACAGTGATGCTCTTATGTGAAGAAATATATGCAGTGCTAATTTCATTAATGAAAACAAAAACAAATGTTTTGTTTTTCCTCAAGAAGGTTTCTCTGGGTCTTGTTTCAGTATTTTTAAACAAGTGGAGTATTAGGGAAGGAGGCGGGGATGAGCTTCAATATTATGCTTTATTATTATATACAGTATGTAGGTATGTGGGTGAGAGAAAGAGTGAGACTGTCATTGTACCACAGCTGTCTAAATATGTATGTCTCTATTCTAGATAAAGCAATATACAACAGAGAATTAAGTGTAGAGAGACCATTGGAAGAACAGGTAGGTAAAGTAAGTTTCTGCACAAATATACTTCAGTGATGTAAAAATCAGCAGAAACCTAAGCCTCTAATTGCAAGGAGAATCCCAGTGATCTAAAGAAATTAATTTTGTAGTACTAATCAAAAACCAAACAAACCAAAAATTCTTTGCTGCATAAACATTCCAACTAAATGTAGTATATTTACCAGGACATAAGCCCTGCAAAATTGTTGGTACAGAAGCTTATGTACAACTGCAACCTTGCTACGGCATGAGCTTTTAGCAGGCAAATGACTAATTCATCACTGGCAAAAAATCAGATTCATGCATCTGATGACGTAGATGTTCACCCACCAAAAGCACACAAAAGAATAATTGTCAGTCTTCAAAATGTTCTGGTATTCTCAGATGTTTTGGTGATTAGCCAAAGCTTCAGGAAAAAAATCATTGGAGTGATAGTCATACAAAGTTTTGAGGATTCCCCCCACCATGGAGAGTTTTCCGTAATGACCACTTTAGCCTTGCCTTTTTCTTTGAAGAAGAAGAACATGGTACCAAATCAGAGCTTGAGTCCACCTGGCCTTATTGTCAACACTGACAAACGTCAGCTCCCTGGGGTTTTAAACTGACATTGTTCCAGACCTGCCTGAGATACCAAACATTGAACTTCAGCTCCCTTGCACAAAAAGCAGTTCCTCTCCCTCTGAGCTACTGCCCATCCTCTTCCATTTATGAAATCAATAAAAGCATCAATGGGCATGTTCAAAATGCCTGATTTCTTCTCTTGCTAGGGCAGATGGAGTGGTTCTATTGACAGTCTTTTTTTTTGGGGGGGGGATATTTATTTTGCTTTATTTTACTGCATTTCCACAAACTGGCTACCAGATACCTTACTAAAACAAGGAAATAATAAATAAGAGCTCATACATTTTGAGATCCAGCAGTAATTAATAATCCAACAATCTAAAGAGGCAATCCAGTATTGCAAGCTAGCTGGCAAAGGTTGGCAGGTATCTTTTAGCCACCTGCCATCTGCTACTTTTAATTAAAGATAGCAAGGGTGAGACTAGGACCTCATACAGGCAAAGTATATGCTCTGCCATTGGCTTATCACCTCTTCTTGAGAAAAGTTTAGGTGTTAAATGATATTCCATGAAGAATGCTCCAAAATTAGGAGCCACCACTGGACACTCTCCATCCTTAGCTGCCATCTATAAAACCTCCAGAACCAGGGCTAACTGGAGCTAAGCAGCTGATGATAATCTAAGTCATGGCCACCTTATTTCTTTCTGGCTGAAATCTGAACTTGGTGTTTCAGTAACAGACTGGAGACTCCATTGCTCTCCAAAAGATTCATATTGTTCTCTTCTATCACATGAATTGTAACTTGATGACAACTTAGAAAGGCCTTAAGGTTTTGGGAGACCGCATGTGGCTCCAGACTGTAGTTGTGCACTTTTGATCTAAGTGAACTGTATAAGCATTGATCCAATCTCCCTTGAAAATACTCTCATTACACGAAAGTCCAATACTGAATAAACACAGCAATCTATTGATTAGACTGCTATTTTCACACCCAGATATGTTGAGACTACACCTCCTAGAATTCCTAGCCATCTTGCCAAAAGTCCATTCCTAGCATCTGTAGGAATGGCTGGAAACAATTCTTTTGAGAAACTCAAATGAGTTAACCCTAACCCTAACCCTGCTTTCCCCAAGGTCCAAAAGATTGCATATTTGTGATCAATACTTATTAGTACCAACTCATTTGAGTTTCTCGAAAGAATTGTTTCCAGCCATTCCTACAGGTGCTAGGAATGGACTTTTGGCAAGCTGGCTAGGAATTCTAGTTGTAGTAGATACTCCCTTCTAGCCCAGTTTATTCCTGTTGGCTTGTCTCGGGCAGGTGGCTAAATTGGTCAGAAGAAGCCAATTCAAGTTCTCACTTAGTTTTTTATCCCCAGATTGCTGAAGCAGAGGCAGACAAAATGAAGAAATCACCCTCAACAGGTAAGTCTTCTTTTCTTATTCCTGACTCGCTCAGATTGCTGCTTGCTCAGAGGCATGAGATGGTTTCTCGTACATCTGTGTTACAGATTTTCCAGAAAATAAGCCAGAACTCAGGAATTATTCATTTGTGGATGACTTGAACCTGCTGAGATCTGCTGTGGAAAAAGACAGAAAGGAAAAGGAAATGGAATCGATCAGAAGTTCCCTGTATAATCAACAGCTTGCTCTTGATGATGCAGATTCCACCAAGAGACGCAGGCTGGTGGATGAGTATGACTCCACTAAAAGTGGTGTGGATTATAAATATCAAGGTACTGCATTAGCCTTCATTGGCCACAGTTATGCTTTGAATGCATCTTACGTATGCAGATGAGTTGGACAGCTTCTCTGAATGCACGACATCATAGTAGACTCATCAGCCTTAGCAGAAAAGCACCAAGAATGCCAAGATGGCCATATGCCAAGTACTGCTGAAGTGGGCATATGAATGATACTTAGGAAAAAAAGGAGAGAGTGAAATTCAAACCATTATGCAACAGCACAGAATGCACTTATTACGGCTTGTTAAGCAAACCATAATACCTTAGCGCACACATAACCATAATTTCATATTTCAGTAGCTAAGTCATATAAACAGTCCAAGCCCAAACATAACCAATAGCATCAAAGCTTAGTGTGATCTGCAGACAAAGTCATAGGTTCATAACTGAGTTCTTCAAGTGCTGGTCTTTGGATAGCCAAAATGGCACCATATGTGAATGAAACTGTAGATGTTGGCACACTTGGGGGAAAAAGAGTAGGCTTCCAGAACCCTAACTTTGTGGAAATACCTAAAGTAAAAAATTTTAGAATCCCAGAGTGAGTTGATGAGCGCCCAAAATAAGATGTATTACTTAACTGGAGAAGGCTCACTTGAAATAAGCTGAGGTTGGAATGTCTTCCCCCAAACTGTCAATTTCCTGAATTCTAGTTACAAGACTTCTGGACAGCATCAGGCTGGGAAAATCTGCTCTATGGTGCTGCTAGTAAATCTGATCCTACTATAAAGCACACTTTGGTACAGGAAGAACATTTTGGTCAATGCCAAATCTCAGCCTGTTCTCATGGATAGCTTCCAAATGCAAAGTAATCCCCATGTGCTATTAGAAAAACGGTGGATGACAGAAATAGAAGTCTTTTAATTAATCACCATTACGTAAAAACATTTCTGTCTGCGTGCATGATGTGAATTTGCCATGATGTTCACGATTAGAATTAGTCTTTGTTGACATTTCAAAAAAGGGCAGGAAGAGGCAGTGACCCTTGATATGTGCAGAACGTACCTTTGAATATACTTATATCACTTAACTATGAAGCATGATGCTAATTGAGCTCTGCTTATTTAGTCTGCCCCACTCAAAACACATAAAGGGAGTAGCTGCACACACATACACTGGGGGACAGTCTACAGACAGCAAAGCCTTACAGCACACTAAAGTTGCCATCTCCCGGTCTAGGAGAGCAGAATAGCAGAAAATCACAAAAATCTGATTTGATCTGATGCTGAAGCTCCACATACTGTAGCTGGCCTGACATTCAGGCCTAATAATTATTGAGACCAGAGACAGGGCCAGTTCTACCATTAGGCACAATGCAGCTCTTCAAGACAACGCAAGTCTTGAGCATGGCCCCAGAGACCTCCAGGGGTGGTTCCCAAATTATAAAGTTTAATGGGATAGAAGGGAAACATTATTAAATGTAATCACGTTAAGTTATTAAGTGCAATCATATTTTAATTTCATATTTAATTTCAATTTAATGTAAAAAGAAAGGAGAGGTAGTTTTTATCATGGCATCACGATTATCATTTGGAGGGTGGACCCTGGGAGGCCACTCAGAGGCAAAATGTGGTCCACAGCATTGGAGAAAATTATACCCTCCAAATCAGGCAGAGTGAGAAATCAGCCTCAAGGAGATGTCCTTAAGGTAGAATTGTTTCCAGGCCTCCCAGGAGATACCAAGGATTGAACTTGGGGCCTTGTATTCTACCTCTGACCTACAGCTGTCCCCAAAGCACCATTTTATCACCCTATTATTCTTTTAGATGACCCAGATGGACTTCATCAGCTTGATGGGACACCATTAACAGCTGAAGATATTGTCCAGAAGATTGCCATGAGAATATATGAGGAAAATGATAGAGGAGTCTTTGACAAGATTGTTTCCAAGCTTCTAAATCTGGGCCTGGTAAGTGTTTTAGGCATCTGTTTACTTACACAGCCAGCTTCATTTTCCCTCCTACCCCTTGTTTGGGGTTCCGAGACTATTTTAAAGAAAAATTCTGAGCGAATGAATGAATTAATGAATGAATTTATCTTGAAATAAAGGGATATTCTTTTGCATTTGAACTCAGACTTTGAACAGTAACTTCGGTTTGCATCAATCACATGATGCTTGGCCATGATATGCAAATTGCCAATTTCTTGAAAAGCTTTATGATTGACAGATAAGCTCAAAAGATGGGGGAAAATAGGAAGGATGTGTAATTGATTCATTGTAATCAGTTACAATGAATCTTAACCTGCTTTCTGTTTAGTTCTGCATTGTTTTGAAAAAAAGAAGCAAAGTTTTCAATGAGCTGAGTTCAACACCTGGTCACTTATACAGACACAATCACGCAGTTACAAGTGGTCTCCCTCCCCTCCCTCCCTTCCTCCCTCCCTTCCTTTCTTTCTTCTCTCCCTCTTTTCAAATTTCCAGTCTAGCTTTTAGATTCTGCAAACACAGCACAGCAGAATAAAAATGATTCAGAGACTACAATGGAATTCATCTGGATTAAAATGTGGCTTCTTTTTGCCTGTCTCAAAAGCACGTGTATATGGTACGCAGAGCTCACCGAGAGAACAAAAAAACATTTATTTTTTTTCCCCAGATCACCGAAAGCCAGGCCTACACACTAGAGGATGAAGTGGCTGAAGCATTGCAGCAGCTCATTGCTAATGAAGCCAAAGACCGGGAAAAAGCATCTGAGGATCTTGAGGATCTTCCAAGCAGGAGTGACAGTCAGACTAAAGAGAAGCAGAAAGGAAAAATGGTAACACTTCTTAATTATAACTCACTTTTATGGGACAGTTCAATAAATACGCCCACTTGCCAATCATTGTTTGAGCATCTAGGTTCAAGAACTTTTCTATCACTGAGAAAGCTACCGCAATATATCCTAAAATAGTGCTGTTTTGGTAGGATTCAATATTGGCTGAGTTCATACGACATACTCAGCCCAAACCGAATAGCCGTATTATAGTTTAATGTATTGGGTGACCCCAGCCAATTCTCTTCCATCAGATGGCAGCAAGATGCTTTCAAGTACACATTAGCAGCGTGTCAAGGTAATGGAATCCCTATAGTTCATTTCCAGCATTTGGTACTTAAAAATTAGACTTTTAAAATATACATCTAGCTATCCTAGCTATTAGCTGTTGCTAGGCCTATTTTGTACTAATTTATCTAATCCCTTATTTGGTGAAGAGAAATGGACTAATTCTCCAGTCAGGCATTATTCTTGCTGCGAATCTAGCTGGTATCAAATATTTTGGTTCTGATGTCCAAACATATGTATTTCTATTTTTTTAATTTTTTTTTTATGAAGGTGTTAAAAAACACTGATCGGGATGATACTTTGGATAATACTTGGGTTTCCACCAACATCTTAGAAAGGAGAAATGAACTGCCCCCAGAGGATAATTTTCAGGATCTCCAGTATTTCCCTAATTTCTATGAACTGTTAAAAAGCCTTACCTCCGGTGAGTTTCCTATGGATCAACCATTTCAAAAAGCAGAGTTAGCCCATGTTTTATTTAATTTATTTTATTTCTTGGATTTATAAGCTGCCCATCTCACAACAGCGACTCTGGGCAGCTTACACCATTTAAAAACAATACAATAGCATAATATAAAACAGAAACAATAGTTGTGGAGTCAGATCAGTCTAAAATTGGCTGGGGAATTCTGGGAATTGAAGTCCAGACATCTTCAAGTTGCCAAGTTTGAGAAACACTGCTCTAAACAAACAATGACACATCATGGGCTCTGACCAACACTCTGACTCCCATATCTGAGAATGCATCTACATCTTAAGAGCCATCTGGAAAACTCATTTTAGACCATTTTGTGTTCAGTTGTGCAAATTCTTATGTTGACACAAATGACTTGCTGAGTTAGGTTCATGCATCATACATAGCTGAGATTTGCTTAACTGTGATTTGCTGGCTGCCATAATTTGGGTGGGATCAAAAAGCACAGACCTGGATTTACAAAATGCACTGGCTAAGTTCACACAGCTCTTTAAACCAAGCTTGAGCAAACAACATGATGGCTTAGCATGATACATGAATCCATTGGCTGACTTTCACTTATTGCTTATATCATTAAATGACAACATTCTGGGAGAGAAGCAATAAATAAAGGCATTATAAGTACCCATTCATTTGGAGTGCTTGTTGGAGAAGAAAGACAGGCTCAAAATGAATAGAAATTAAATATGGAGCCATCACATTCTTATTTCTGTATATCAGTGGCCATAACCCCCAGCTGCCATGATCTGTATTGGTTGAGAATAGCAAATGTGCACAATCAAGTTATGTAGAATTTAGTATTTTTCAGCAGGTCCATTAGTTCAGATTAAGTCTGCCATGCAAGTGGTCTCCTCCCCTGGAAATCTTAGACTTAGAGAGAAAAATGTGTCGATGGATAGATAACAAAAGTGGTTTTTAAGTTAAAGAATAATAATAATACCCTTATTTCCAAGAGAGCAGGTATCTATTTACCCAGATGTTCTCTTCATTCATGCAGAGAAAGAAGTGAAGGAAAAGGAAACCTTAATTACAATAATGAAAACTCTAATAGATTTTGTCAAGATGATGGTTAAATATGGAACCATCACACCAGAGGAAGGTGTTTCATACCTAGGTAAGAGCATATAAACAATAACCATATTATTTCTCTCGTGAGTTCTATCAGGTGATATTTTTAGTCTCAGGTCTTGTTCATATCTGAGCACTGACTGTTACTTAAAGGTGTGTCAGAATGCAAAGTGTTGATCTCTGGGGTCTTCATATGAAGGAACATTAATTGGGATCAGGAAACCAGAACAGGTTTCCCCACAAATTGGTATAAAGCTTTTTTTTTTTTTAATTATGATCCCCCTGACTACTTAAGGTCTCTCTAAAAGTCTGTCTCATTATGAAGCTATCCAGTTATTAAGTATTGCAAGAAAAACTGTTTTAAGCAGGGGCCCCCAAACCCATCAAACTTTTATAATGGAGGGAGTTCATCCCACCCAATCCCCCCCAACCCAGGGTGGGGGTGGGGTTTTT